CCAGAGGCCACCGCGGCAGTCCAGAGGCCCCTGCAGGCAGTCCAGAGGCCACTGCGGCAGTCCAGAGGCCACTACAGCAGTCCAGAGGTCACTGCAGCAGTCCAGAGGTCACTGCGGCAGTCCAGAGGCCACCGCGGCAGTCCAGAGGCCCTGCAGGCAGACCCTGCTGTACTTTGTCACATGCCCTGCCTCGTGCAGAGTGAAAATGTGGAGTTCTTGAGGAGCATGACCTTTCCGACTGTTCACCTCTCAAGCTGGCAAGGACAGCGAAGCCATGCTATTCAGTAGTCCTCGCTAAAGGAGTCTGGGGCCAGTGACATTCTGGCTTCTAGAAATCCAGAGTTGGATGCGAATTCTCCCAGTGTTTTCAACCTTGGTAATTATTGTGACTCTGATGTTGAATACTGAGCAGTCACTGCGTCTGTTTGTGGGCGGATATGAATGATGGGCCACCAGAAGGTACCCATCACTTTTGGATCACACCACAGGAGGCGGTGTGCCCGGGCAGAGTTGGTGCAGCTTGGCCTGGGTTAAGTGAGGTATCTTGGGAGCCCCAGGAGGAATTATGGAGTGCACAGCTGGGGGATATATATATATATATATATATATATATATATATATATATATATATATATATATATATATATACAGGCAGACACATCTGGAGGGAGAACTTTCCACTAGAAAGGCAAGATAGAAGCTGAAAATAGTCAAGAGAAGGGAGATGCATTGGGAGCAGGCTAGAGCAGGGGTTCTCAACCCGTGGGTCACAACAGGAGTCACCTAAGACCATCGGAAATATCACACTGCCGTCCACAACAGTAGCAAAACTACAGCTACAAAGTAGCAATGAAAATAATGTTATGGTTGGGGGTCATTACAACATGAACTATATTAAAGAGTCACAGCATTAGGACGATTGAGAACCACTGGGCTAGAATGTAAAAATATACGCACATAGCTGGATGTAGTGGTGTACACCTTTAGTCCCAGCACTTGGGAAACAGAGGCAGGAGGATCTCTGTGAGTTCAAGACCTTGTCTAGTGAGTTCTAGGACAGCCAGAGCTACATAGTGAGACCCTGTCTCAAAACAACAACAAATTGTGTGTGTGTGTGTGTGTGTGTGTGTGTGTCCACCTATAATGTTTTAAAAATGCATGTTTATAGGATGAATATATTATTTAGCATGTATTACTTAGGGGACAAGTATAAGTATAGATGAGAACCTATGAATACAAACACATGGCATTGGAGATCTGTCTTTGAAGGGCCCAGAACACAAAGCTCCCTGGGTAATCAGGGCCCAGAGAGTCCAAACAAATATCCCTGTACACTTGTGTGCACAGCAGATAACAGATTTGATTGACATACTCACTGCTTCGGAAGACCACAGGAACTTCTGAGACAATGTGGGGAAGAGAATTGGTGCTGAGCTCCCATCCCTGGTTAGGAGGGGACTGCTGTGGCTTCCTTTTCTGGACTCGCCTTCCCTCCAGAGTGGGTTTAGGGCCTGGCAGTTCAGAGATTCAGTGCTGAATCTCTGTCGGGGGCAGGGCCAGGCAGGGGTAGGGCCGACTCCCAGCATGGATGACGCCACTTGTGCCGATTCTCTTCCACTCGGACAGATTTGTCCAGTGTGGTCCATTTACTAGATAAAGTGGTCTAATTACATCCAGATAGGCAGGGCAGGTGTGCAGCTGGGAGGCCACCTGATGCCCTGCTGCTGCTGCTAACGCTGACCTGCTTCCCATCAACACACAGCCCCAAGGCCGTTTGGCTCAGGGACCAGGCCCCCCTGACTGGCATCAGTTGTCAGTGCTCTGGCACTGACTGCTAAGGCCCGGTGCAGCCGGGAAGGGTAGCCGGGGACCGAGCCCTTACCCACGATCATGCCGACCTCGCACTGGCGGTCCTCATAGTAGCAAGAAATCATCGTGGCCACTGTGTCGTTCACCATCGCCACCACATCCATCTCAAAGTCCTGCCGAGAGCACAGAGACGATGGAAGTGGAGCTGGGGAGAGGGCCCTGTGTGAGGGAGCAGGGGCCCAGGACAGCCCCTCGGGGCAGGCAAAGGTGTCCTCACCCCTCTCCTCTTTATAGCATCTCGGAGAAGTCCCACGATGTTGTTCCCTTCTGCTCCGGAGGCCTTGAAGCCCTTAGTCCAGTTGAGGAGGATGCCCTGTAGGGGTAGGAAGGCATTATGGCTGCTGTGGCAGGGATCTGCAGCCTTAAACCAACCAGATCACAGGTCCATGGCACCCCCACCCCCTACTTCCCATATGAGGAAGTAGACTCACACAGCTTTGAGAGGTACCGGGAGCAATTTTCTACACACACACACACACACACACACACACACACACACACACACTGAGAAGCCCAGGACCTTGAGAATGCTCTATCTCTAAGTTGTACCCTCTAGCATAAGAATGTTGAGCAGCAAAACTCAGGGGTATCATTCCCTAGTAGAGGTAGGACAGGCAGGTCCCTGGGAGGACAGTGCTGAATAACATGGAGTGCTGTGGAATAGTCCTTCTGTACATTGTGAATATGTATTACTGTCATTGATTAATAAAAAGCTGACAGGCTGGCAGCCAGCCAGGCAGGGAGTGTAGGTGGGACAGCCAGACACAGAGGACCCTGGGAAGAAGAAGAAGGGCAGAGTCAGAGGAGATGCCAGGCAGCTGATGAGGAACCAGGATGTGTAGAAAATGAGGTGACAAGCCATGAGCCACATGGCAAAGCATAGGTAAGAAATATGGGTTAATTTAAATGTAAGAGTTAGCTAGTAACAAGCCTGAGCTATCTGCTGATCATTTATAATTTCTATCAAGTCTCTAAGTCACTTATTTGGGAAGTGGCTGCTGGTTATTTGGGAGCAGGTGGTAGGGACAGGAAAACTCCACCTACAATTGGGGTTCCTCTCTTACAGTGAATCCTGCTGCACATGAAGATATCATGTGTGGCTTTCTCTGTGGAGCTTGGGGCTTAGAAAACTACTGGAGATGTGGGTTTGGCTGCTGCTTTTGCCCCTTGGGACATGACCTGGTTTTATCTCTGACACAGAGGCTGTATTGATTTATTTTGATTTTCAACTTGAGTTAATGTAGAATCACCTGGGAAAGGGGTCTCAGCAGGGGGTTGTTTAGATTAAGTTGGCCTATGGACAGTTAGTTATCTTGATTACATTAATTGAGATGGGAAGACTTGCCCCCAGTTGGGGGCACCATTCCCTAGCCAGAGGCATGGCAAAAGCGAGCTGAACACAAGCGAGCATGAATTCTTTGCTCTGTATTTCTGATTGTGGACGAAGCTCCGGCCTCTGTGACTCCCCTGCTATGAGACACTATAACCTGGAACTGTGAGCTAAATTAAGCCCATTCTCCCCGAAGTTGCTCTTGTCAGAGTACTTAATCACAGGAACTATAAAGGAATAAAGGAAACTAAAGCAGAGATCTTATGGTGTGTGTGTGTGTGTGTGTGTGTGTGTGTGTGTGTGTGTGTGTGTGTGTGTGTGTGTCTGATGTAACTTGTGAACTTGCCAGTGTGATAGATTCTCAGACCCTTCTCACTTGTGACTCGGCCAGAAGCAGGGAGGTGTCTTTGCCTCTGTGGTCAGCTGGGGCCCCAGGCCAGCTGCCACCTCCCACTGCGAGCAACTTGCTTAACCTGTTTCTTTATCTGTAGTGGGGTGACCATAGCACGTCTCCTGAGAGGCTTTTCCACACAGCAAGAATCAGCTGATGTTATGTCTGTTTGCCAAAGCTTTTCAGATAGGAGGTGACAGGGGCCACAGCTGAAGTCTCCTCTAGGCTTGGGCTCTTTTACAGCCTGGGTTGGGGAGCCACACCTGAAGGCCGTGGGAGCAGCGTCTCCTTCCATTCATCCCCCTCCCGTCTCCTCCGCCTGGCTCACCTTGTCTATGTCTTCGTGCCTTACAGGGAAGGAGAAGGTGAAGCCCAGGGGCAGCTTCTTGTGCTTCATCTGATGCTTGTCCAGGAAGTCAGAGATGCACTCGGAGATGTAGTCAAAGAGCTAGCAGTCAAAATGCACCAGAGTGGCATTGGGTCAGGGCTGGGACAGCAGCAGCCCTCTCCCCAGGGTCAAAGTGTCCCTTGGAGGTGTTCAGACCTTTGACCCCAGAGGCTGCAACTGTCTGCTGGACCTGTCTGCTCTTTGCTTCTCATTAGGATTCAGGCCGTGCACCTCCCCAGATGGAGAACCCTGCTGTCTGCGGTCCCCGGGGCAATGAGGCACAAGACAGGCTGACCCTCTAAGCCCCCTCCTTCGCTTGCCCAGTGAGGACTGACTAGCACCGAGCCTGGATGGCTGTCCTGTGAAGCGCTGGGTGGAAGCACATTCTTGGCCATGACTATGATTTCCGTCTCTTGTGCTGTTTCCTAGGTATCCTGGCCACCTGACCCCTGCTGAAGGCTGGTCCCAATCCCTTCCAGTGGAATGGTTCACATGACCAGGTGCTGCTGAGCAGATGGATGAGGGAGCTGCCTCATAACATGCCCAGTCCCAGGCTGAGATGTGCTGAGGGAAGGCTGAGTGGCTATGGGTAACCTCTTGCCTGGCTGCCCCTCTGGTGATGGGTTCTGCCTTGTCCCTGGGCATGGCTGGGGGTTTTGGCTTAGTCCGTGGCTCCTTCTATTTCTAGGTCCCCAGTCTGAGTCTCCCTCATGCTTAGGGGACCCTGCTGCTTGGGCAGACAGTGTGGCTCTTGCCACACCACTTGGCATATACCTGTTGGCGGGTTAGTGGTGGCCTGTGAGCAAGGTTGGGCTTTGTGAACTGAAGAAGACTGGGCAAGCACAGCTTCTGGCTGCTCACTCCTAAGCTTTGCTTTCCCTCTAGGAAACTGGACAGAAGCTGGGTTCTCCTCTGCGGACCTCTCTTCAGCCCCTTCCTGTTCTGAGACGACTGGAATTGGGACTCGGGACACTTAAAGCCTCTGAGTCACCTTCTTGGGTCTCTCTCTGGTGCTGAGTGGCCCACCATCACTTCTGTTCTCGAAACCCTCCCATCAGGACCAATTCTCCTGAGATCCTGGGTGACCTTGACCTCTAGCCCTCCTTTTCCAGCCCCTCAGGCTGCTCACCATCTCTGCGGTGCCCGTCATGGCGTCCTCGGGGATGGAGTACATCTGGTGTTTGGTCTTCACGCTCCACTGCCCCGCCTCCCCCTCTCCCACCTTCACCAGCATCACCCGGAAGTTGGTTCCTCCCAGGTCTAAGGAGAGAAAGTCTCCAACTTCTGCAGGCAAAGGGAGATATGTTCAGCCTCATTGCCTATCTGACAGGTGGAATAGGTACGGGGACCCCCAGACATTGTGGATGAGGAGAAGCTAGCCTAGACATGGGGGTGGGGCAGTGGGGGGGTGGGGCAATGCTAGAGCTGTGGAAGGGTCAAAGGTGAACTAGGGAACATCAGTGGGAAAGCCCTGCCTTAGGTAGAGACAGCCAGAACCCAGATAGCTACATAGAGATCTAGAGTAATGGACTACACTCTGGATAAGGAGGAGGTTCCCCAAGCGACCTCAGAGACAAAAAATAGAAGCCAGTTCTCCTGAGGCTTGATAGCTCCAGGCTGGGCCTGAGCACCCCAGGGCTTCAGGCAACTGGACAAAGACCTATCAAGTGACCTGGGGATGCCATCATTTGCCTAGGGAGTCCTGTCTAGGGACAGATGATCCCTGCGGGTACCTGAGCCTTCTGGGGTGGAACGCACGTAGGTGGGCAACATCTTTACACTGGCCTCCTCGTGGGTCTCCAGCCTCAGGCCACGGTCCATCTCCTTCTGCATCCGCCTCATCACCTTCTTCAGGTCTTCCTCCCGCAGCTGGAACTCTGCCAGGATCTGCTCTACCTGTACAGGGAGGGCGTGGGAGCGGCTGTGGCTGCCACCAGGAACCTCCACACACCAAGGGTCTCCTTTTTGTCTTCTGACCCCAGGTGCAGGATGGTTCACACGTCAGACTATTTACCATAGTTTATTTCAGATATTCCAGGCCCAGCCCCTCAGCAATTAGCCTGGGTGCTCTGAGGGGAGTGAAGAGCAGGGAGCTGGGTAGCCTTTCTCTTAGCAGGATCTTTGAAGTACAATGCCTTGAAGTACCTCCCATTGCCCCTAAGATTCTGGATGATGTGGTGATATATTGTGCACCCTAATAAATTTGCCTGAAGATTAGAGGACAGAACAAGCCACTAGATTAAACATAGGAGCCAGGCAGTGGTGGCACACACCTTTAATCCTTGCATTCAGGAGGCAGAGATCCATCTGGATCTCTGTGAGTTCAAAGCCACCCTGGACTACATGAGATTGGCTCAATCTAGGAGAGAAACAGAGCCAGGCAGTGGTGGCACACACCTTAAATCATAGTACTTGGGAGTCACAAGCCTTTAATCACAGCACTAGGAAAGTTGAGACAGGAAATGATATGGGTGGATGGAGAAAGTTATATAAGGCGTGAGGAGACAGGAACTAAGATCTTTCTGCTGAGGAAAGCTGTTCAGGCTGAGGAGTCGTAGAGGTAAGAGGTGGCTTGTTCCTTTGTCCCTCTGATCTTCAGGTAAGTTTATTAGGGTACACAATATATCTCCATAGGATGAGGGGAGGAAAATGCTCTAAATGGGACTTTCGTGAGGTGGGACTGGAGCTGGCATTACTGTGTAAACAGCCAGGTTTTTTTTTCTACTATAGGACTTTATGGAATGAATGGGCCAGTATGCATAGAGTAGCCAAGACTAGAGTAGCTGGAGTGACCCCTAGTACCAAACAGGGGTCTGGCTAGCAAAACATGGCCATTCACAGTGTGCCAGCTTTAAGCCCAGAGGGAGGAAACTCTCAATATTGATGTGGGAGACCTGTGCATGAGAAGCTCAGAACCAACACTGCCATTCCTGCAAGTGGATGGCCAAGGTGGGGCATTCACCCTCCACACGATGGCATAGGATAGCTGGGCCCTGCAGGGTGGGCAGCTGTGTGGCTGTTCACTTTGTAGAGCAGTGTGTGTTTGTGCATGTTAGTACACAGGGTAGTGAGAAGTCATTGCAAAGATACTTGTACTTTGAACCAAAAATGGAAATGAGGGATCTTCTGATAAAAGTTACAGATCCACTTTTTATTTATTTAATTTTTTTGTTTTTTGTTTTTTTGTTTTTCAAGACAGGGTTTCTCTGTGTAGCTTTGCACC